CAAGACGTATCATATATGATCGTGGATCAGCTTTTACGAGCAAAGCATTCACTAAGTTCACAAACGATCTCGGAATAAAAGTTATTCTTACGGCATCAGCCACACCACGTGCAAATGGACAGGTTGAAAGATACAACCGCACGATTTTGTCCGCATTATCCGCTACGTTCACGGAAGAAGACAGTTGGGATGAAGCCATACGAGTAGTCAGATGGGGAATTAATTCCACAATTAATAAGTCTACTGGCAAAAGTCCATACGAATTGTTCTTCGGATATAAAGCTCGTGGCATGAGCGATGCATTTTTAAGTAATTCCGTTAGTTGCAACGAGCAACCGGTTGATATTGAAGCAGCTCGGGAAATTGCCGATGCAAATATACGTAAGTCTCAAGAATATCAAAAAAATAAGTACGATTCACGACGATGTAAACCTATCATTTACGAAGTAGGGCAACAGGTTCTATTGCGAAAAGACATTGTGTCAAACGATGGACGCAGTAAAAAGTTATTACCCAAATATAGTGGGCCTTATCTTATAAAAAAAGTGTTAGAACATGACAGATACGTTGTCGAAGACCTCCCAGGCTCTCAAAGATCCCAAAGAAAATATACTGGAGTCCACGCTGTGGACAAGTTAAAACCGTATCGCACAGATTTAAGTGATGACGATGATGATCAAGGAAGCGTCGACTCTCAAGTGTCAAATTTGGATGCTTAACGAGGGAATCAATGGGTAATGAGAAGGTTAAAAGTTAATTCTGTTTTTTTGCCTTTAGGTAACTACCCCACAATGAGAAACCCTCGAGGACGCGGGTACAGTAGCGTGGACGACTGTAAGAAATATCGAATCTGCGTTCAGGATGTATCATGTATTATAGTTATTACATAACGCTTTTGTCTGATTAATTGTATTTACGTTTAAGTTGAAATCATTCTCTTACGCACTCCCGGCGAGTTCGGTCGTTATAATTGTTTTCCTATAATTTAAGTTAGTTTTGAATAAATACCTATTAATTAAAGTGTTTGAGTGTTTTGTTAATATCGCCTTCAATATGTATAGCATATCATACATGAAATTAAAATCGTTAAATATACTTAAAAACTCCCTAAATAGTAAAACAAAACTGACCCTGACTTTAATATATCCAACCATAGAGTATTGCTGCTGCGTATATTTTAGTTATCTTACAAATCATAACAAAAATAAAATTCAAAAAATACAAAATTCTTGTATGCGATAATTATACATGCCGCTACATAAAACAACTAAATTTAAATAATCTTTTCAATACAATGCCTCTATTTTATTATTATTAATATGGTTCCAGATATTTTGTCTCAATTTAATTTTAGTAAAACAATAAACGTATTAATACAAAATTTGGTATTTGGTATTTAAAAAAAAAATATTGTGAACAGATTTGTTAAATTATTTATTTATTTTTGTCATAATTCAGTTTTTGGGAATACACAAATTTAATGTTTTTTTCCTGGATATAATTATTTATAACTAGTGTACCTACTAACTATAGTTATAATTTTCGGGCCGAGTGGAAGATCGCTTGACGAACTCTGACCCTTTGTGTAAAATACCTATTTTTACTAGGTATTAATAGATATTGAGGTGTTTGCAATATTTCATTAAATATTTCGATAAATACAATACCAAAACATATTAAATCTACTATATCTCGGGCAATTTATTTATGTAAGTCAATTATTTACAATATTTAAACTTTTTATATTATATTTCTTACGATTCATTAAGCTTTCTCCTCATATCATACAGAGCAGCTTTTCTCTCATGGCTCAAGCAGTGATTCTTAAAATGATCCTTCCTCGAAAATCCCTTACCACAAGTGGTGCAAGTATAAGGATTGGTCTTCTTATTATGCACAAACATATGCCTTTTCAAGTCAGCCCTAAAATGATACTGCTTTGGACAAATTCTGCATTTGTGTGGTTTATCCCCGCTATGTTTCTCCGTATGAGCATCAAGGATTTCCTGAGCTGCGAACTTCTTTCCGCATTTCATGCACTTGAATTGGTTTTGCTTGTTATGCTGAGCATTAGTGTGTTGGTTTAAATGGCAGACTTTTGTAAATACCCGGTCACAAAATGTGCATTTGTGCGTTTGTTTTTCTTCTTGTGCTTTAGCGGTGGCACGTTCCACGTAAGACAGTGGTTCTTCGGTTTCATTGGCGACTTGATTGTATTGAAGAGACTTACTAAATAAATCCTGATTGTTCGGTAAGTATCGGATCGGTTGCTGTGTTGAGAAGTAATGCATATTGGGAAAGTAGCCATCATACAATTGCTTTCCTGTAAAATAGGACAGCTCGCTATCGGTTCCTGAGGCTGTCGGTAAGGAGTTTATAGTTGCAACTGGGAAGTCGTATACATCTGCTTCTTTTTTTGGCAAAATGGGATTGGTATTCATTTTGTCATTTTGCTTCTGGTTATTTTGGTACTGATTATCATCGTAGTATAATTGTTTCTTATCATTGTAGACCCAGTTTGTGGAGTTATAATCAACATAATTAGTCCAGGGTTCATAAACATTAGGAACGTATTGTTCTGTAGTGTTTTCTTGTTTTGACAGGTTTTGCAAATCGGTCGCTTCATAGGATTGATAGTAAGGGTATGACATTTTGATAATGTTGGTATATGCTTTTTAAGATGATTGACTAGCATTTTAGTATAGTTAGTTTTTATATGCAGTGGCAAAGCATGTAGGTATAAAAGTATAGTATACGATCAGGTAATTTGTTTATTTAAACAGAAGTAATAATGTTTATCTGTTTATGTTAATCTAGGGGATTATCATATTTTAAGTTTGGTTATGACAAATTATTGTATGGTGTCTGATTTGTTTGTTTCAATTTGTGTCTAAATTCGACGCTTTAATATAAAATGGCGGATGTGGGTATATTTTACCCAGTAGTGGACGACAATGCCCGCCAAATTGAGATAATGAATTTGCCACCTTTGTCTCCGAATATAAATCCTATTGAGCATGTGTGGAGCAAGATGAAATTGAATTTGAGAGCGAAGGACGCCCAGGATTTTCTAAGGAACTTGGTCGAGGGAATGCCCAGGGTAAACGAATTATTACGGGTTAGGGGAGGGCCAACGAAATATTGAAAGTTATTATTGTTATTGTTTGTTACATTTTTCTGTTGAATGTAGAAGTTTTGATTATAATTACAACTACGCATAAAATTTTCGAAAATGAACAAAAATATTTTTATTTAACTTTATTACCAATTAGGTAGGTACTTATCAATGATGTTATCACTGCTGCGCAATGTAAATGTATACATGTAAATGTGTATGTAACATTATCCTAACCACTCAAACAAATTGCAATAATTTCGCCCAAAAAATGAATCCCCATATGGCATTTTCATCATAAATATGCAAGAAACACGCCATCAATCGGATTTTATTAAGACATTTAACAGCAGGGAATTGATTTCGAATTTTGATTCTTGGTGATTTTGGTTATATCTGAAACTTAAATTTGACAACTGAATCACAATCAGGAGGTCAAAATTATAAAGAAAACATGTCACGAACGTAAATATCGGTTCAGGTTTAGTTTTCGCAAATTTTCACCAAAATATCATTTTGAAAAAGTGGTCTTTGCTTAGAACCCTCTGAAAATAATGGAAGTTTGTTGCTTGTCGCTTGTTCAGAATTATTCAAGGAATAATCTTTCAACATCTTATTTTCTTGTTCTTAATTAAAAAGGAGTGTATTGCCTACCAAAAAGCCTTAAATGTAAAGACTGAGTGTATTGCCTACCAAAAAGCCTTAAATGTACTCTTTTGGAAAAAAAAATCATATTTTCGTTGCTAAGATTCCAATTCGAAAAATTTTAAAAACGATTCAAGGTAACACATAATACTTCATTATTTTAAAGTAAAAACGAAAAAAAAAATTACTTTTTAACAAACGGGGCTTGGATGAAGTTATTGAAATTTTTCACCGTTTTACATATCACCCTGTAGGAAATTTACTTGCAGAACGGTGGGCTTAATATCTATAGCATGAATTGCCAGAACCAAGTAATAATGCTCATCTGTTTATTTTAATCTAGGGGATTATCAAATTTCAAGTTAGGTAAAATACGGTTAAAATAAAAATTGTACCTCCAAGTGCGCTTGGAGCGGACAGTTCGATTTTGTCTTTCGTGTGTATCGCCCGATGAAAAAGTGTGAAAAATAGCTGACTTTGACCCAGGAGGGACAAAATTGGATTCTGGGAATATAAATATTCCTGTATCTTTGGACAATATCGCAAGCTTTGACCTTTTAGCGAGTTATTTTGTGATTTGTACACGAGAATCAGTGGACGACTCCAGATTGGAAAAGTCACGTCTGTGGGTGGATAGCTTCGTGAAGCGCATGGACATTAAACCGAGACCAGTAAGGCTTTTTGCCATCAAGAAAGAAGAAGAACGACCGCTTTCAAGGTACTGCGGCCGGTGAGAGAGATACCGATAGAGAGGGCTTGCGGCCGACTAAAATCCATATAACCTTGTAGTAAAAAGCTGGATTTGAACGTTTATTAATTATTTTTCTTAAAGGAACATGCAATATTGTTCGATATAATCTTAACAGTTAAATTGATTTAATAAATTACTTTACGCATAATTAATATCAGTAAAACTATTGCCGTATTTTTTCACACATGAAAGATAATAATATAAGTAACCTTATAATAGAAGCTTCATAAAAATTTTACTGATTTTCAGCTATTACAATAATTATGTTCAGCTAAATGATTAACTTAAATTCTTAGGAATAGCTACTAGCTACAAGGTTAAATTCTGACAAATTCTTTGAACAGTTACTTTGGCCGGAATAAATAATTAATTATTCAATGCCGAAAACCCTATTATTTATATAGTAAAATAATAAAAATAAAAAGTTTGAGTCTATTTTGCAATTTATTTAGTCAATAATTATTATTTACACTTTTTAGATTATACTTCTTATGATTCACGAAGGTTTCTCTTCTTATCGTACAGGGCAGCTTTCCTCTCATGACTCAAGTAGTGATTCTTAAAATGATCCTTCCTCGAAAATCCCTTACCACAAGTGGTGCAAGTATAAGGATTGGTCTTCTTATTATGCACAAACATATGTCTTTTCAAGTCAGCCCTAAAATGATACTGCTTTGGACAAATTCTGCATTTATGTGGTTTATCGCCTTTATGTTTCTCCGTATGAGCATCAAGGATTTCCTGCTCTGCGAACTTCTTTCCGCATTTCATGCACCTAAATTGGTTTTGGCTGTTATGCTGAGCATTATTGTGTGTTGGTTTAAGTAGCAGACTTTTGTGAATACCCGGTCACAAAATGTGCATTTGTGCGTTTGTTTTTCTTCTTGTGCTTTAGCTGTGACACGTTCCACGTAAGACAGTATGTGTTTTTGTACAAGTGGTTCTTTATGTTCAGTGGCGACTTGATTGTATTGAAGAGGATCCGGATTGTTCGGTAAATATTGGTTCGGTTGCTGTGGTGAGAAGTAATGCATATTGGAAAAGTACGCATTATAAAATTGGTTTTCTGTAAAATAGAACGGTTCGCTACCGGTTCCTGAGGCTGTCGGTGAGGAGTTTATAGTTGGAAAGTCGTATACATCTGCTTCAATCTTTGGCAAAATGGGATTGGTATTCATTTTGTTAGCTTGCTTCTGGTTGTTGTGGTTTTGCTTATCATCGTAGGATAATTATCCTACATATCCACACAAAAAAAAAAGTCAGATACTTTTTACGAGACATATGTATTTCTATGTATTTTGACTCGCTGAATCCAAATCCGAGGTCAAAATAGGACCTTTAACGATTGGTTTTCGACATAACCTCAAAAAACCGGTTTTTCAAGTATAGAATGGCGAAACAAAGTTTGATTTTAGATTTCAAGCTGCTGAATTCATATATAGCATCAGTTTTATAATATAACTATAGAATCTAAATCATAACCTCAAAACGTAGTTGTTTGAGCGGTGCTCTGCAGGACTAAGTAAGATTTCCGTACTTTCAGGAATCGAATTCCGATATATAAGTCGAGCTAGCGTTTGTTTTTCATATGGATCAAAATCAGTGAATTTTAAATCATTTTTTAGGAGAAACATACTTTTATTATTGGATTAGTAGAATTTAGAGCAGTTTGATTAGATAGCTGTCTGCGAATGAGATGGTTTCTATATAGTTCTGCATACCACTAACTTTTGATAGTAAAAGAGCTATTAGTTTTTATTATACGCACTCTTTTGGATTCGAAAGATCTGCGTAACGGCATTTTTCTTTTGTTCTGAGGCAAATCTCTTTTCAACATCCAACAGTAGTCCGCCATCATATTTTCATCCCCATCTGCCTTGATATCTCTGTTCCATCACTTTGATATCTTGGTGGAATCTTTCGCCCTGTTCTTCACTGTAGTCTCCAAGGTTTTCAGGAAAGTATTCAACATGAGAATCCATGAAATGCAGCTTTAAACTCATTAAACATTTCAACTTTTTGAAACTGTCTACCATTTTTGAGACCTGTTTTTTCCATTCCGGGCTTTTAACGTTTCCTAGAAATAGTTCAACGACGTTTTTGAAATCGAGCCATGCTTTTTTCTCAACCGAAGTCATTTTCGTAACAAAAATGTCGTCTTTCAACAGTTTTCGAATTTGACCATCAAATATCCCTTCTTTCAACTTAACATCGGACACTTGAGGAAACTGAGATAAAATGTACTGGAAAACATTGTCCTTCTTTATCAAGTGCTTTAACAAATTGTTTCATTAGACCTAACTTTATGTGAAGGGGTGGAAGAAGGACTTTTGATGGCTCTACCAATGGGACATTAATGACGTTTCTAGATCCTGGTTCTAGTGACATTCTTTGAGGCCAAATTTTCTTTTTATAATGATTGCTACGATCTCGACTGTCCCAGAGGCACAAGAAACAGGGGAACTTCGTATTTCCTGATTGTTGTCCCAGAAGCATCGTGAGAACTTTGAAATCTCCACAAATTTGCCATTTATGTTGTTCGTACTTAATTTTTTTTCTAACACAATATTCATATTATTATAATTCTCCTTGAGTTTTGTTGAATGAGCTATTGGTATAGATGCAAACTTGGTTTGTGTTGTGCAATAAGACGGCTTTTCAGGCTTCGTTTACAAGAATCTATGAATAACCTCACTCTTCATCTTTGTAAACTCCTGGTTTCAGTTCGTTCATAAGTCAATTTACATCTGTGCAATAAACTAAAGACATCTCTTGGTCGAAATGGAAGTATTTCCTGAAATTCTGTTCTCTGTTCCGATAAACACTTGACTTCGTACCTTTTGCTAAATTTCCTTTGCCTTTCAAAGCTGAAGCAAGGTGTTCAGCGCCATCTTTAGGTAATCCCTAAATCCCTTATTAGGTCATTCAATTCCTTTTGAGACCACCTCTCTGAATGTTTCATTTTTGTGTCGTATTCGTCATCAGATGTGTCACATTCACTGTTGGAATCTTCGCTGGTACTTGTGGAATACTCTGTCTCCTGTTCTGGAACTGCTTTCTTTTTTTTAGTATTTGAACAAGAAGTGCCAGCATCTGCTGAAATGTCTGAAGGTTTTTCCATTTGTGGTTCTATCACCGAAGAGACTGTGTTATAGATTTCTTGTCGAAAATTCCCCATTTTTTTCGGATCGTTCATGCAGAAGTAACAATCCTTCTCATTTCGCGGTTTTTTTCCAAATTGCTGGTACAATAAACTTTAAGCTTGCATTGCTTTTACTTTTTTTCGCATTTGTACAACATGAAATTGCAAGAGCAGCATATTACATGAGGGGCCCAGCTTTCATCTCGTTCTGGAAACTTAATATTGAAGTATTTCTCCTTTTCAGAGCAGTTGTCATCAACGCACTCTGATATGTGGACACTGGATATTGAATTCTATCAGATAGATAAAAATTGAGAAACACTCCAGTTCGAAGTTGCAAACTTTCTTGTGTGTTGCTGTGTTATCTAGAGACTGTCTGATGAACTACTAGAAGTTTCGCTGATTTATCACCGAAAGGATGTGCTACTGTGGAAGAAGTTAAAATTCACTTACTGCAAAACGAACAAACACCAGCTCGACTCACATATCGGATTCGATTCCTGAAAGTACAAAAATCTCACTCAGTCCTGCAAAGCACTGCTCAGACAATAATGTTTTGAGGTTATGTTCTAGATTTTCTTGTCATATCACAAAACTGATACTATATATGAATTCAGCAGCTTGAAATCTAAAATGAAACTTTGTTTCGCCATTCTATACTTGAAAAACCGGTTTTTTGAGGTTATGTCGAAAACCAATCGTGAAAGGTCCTATTTTGACCTCGGATTCGGATTCAGCGAGTCAAAATACATAGAAATACATGTCCCGTAAAAAGTATCTGACTTTTTTTTTGTGTGGCTGTTTTTCTTCTTGTGCTTTAGCTGTGACACGTTCCACGTAAGACAGTATGTGTTTTTGTACAAGTGGTTCTTTATGTTCAGTGGCGACTTGATTGTATTGAAGAGGATCCGGATTGTTCGGTAAATATTGGTTCGGTTGCTGTGGTGAGAAGTAATGCATATTGGAAAAGTACGCATTATAAAATTGGTTTCCTGTAAAATAGAACGGTTCACTACCGGTTCCTGAGGCTGTCGGTGAGGAGTTTATAGTTGGAAAGTCGTATACATCTGCTTCAATCTTTGGCAAAATGGGATTGGTATTCATTTTGTTAGCTTGCTTCTGGTTGTTGTGGTTTTGCTTATCATCGTAGGATAATTGTTTCTTATCATTGTAGACCGAGTTTGTGGAAAAGTTATAATCACCATTATTTGTCCAGGATTCATAGAAATTAGGAACGTAGTGTTCTGTAGTGTTGGTAATATTTTCTTGTTTCGGCATGTTTTTTAAAACGGTAGCTTCATATAATTGATAGTAAGGGTAGGACATTTTGATAATGTTGGTATATGATGGTTAAGTTGATTGACTTGAATATTTACAATATTTACACTTTATAGACTATATTTATTATGATTCATTAATGCTTCTCTTCATATCATACAGGGCAGCTTTTCTCTCATGGCTCAAGCAGTGATTCTTAAAATGATCCTTCATCGAAAATCCCTTACCACAAGTGGTGCAAGTATAAGGATGTATGTATGAGCATCAAGGATTTCGCTTGACGAACTCTGACCTTTTGTCTAAAATACCTATTTTTACTAGGTATTAATAGATATTATATATGTGTGAGCTGTTTGCATTATTCCATTAAATACAATACCAAAACATTTTAAATCTACTTTATCTCGGGCAATTTATTTATATAAGTCAATTATTTACAATATTTACACTTTTTAGATTATATTTCCTACGATTCATTAAGCTTTCTCCTCATATCATACAGGGCAGCTTTTCTCTCATGACTCAAGCAGTGATTCTTAAAATGATCCTTCCTCGAAAATCCCTTACCACAAGTGGTGCAAGTATAAGGATTGGTCTTCTTATTATGCACAAACATATGCCTTTTCAAGTCAGCCCTAAAATGATACTGCTTTGGACAAATTCTGCATTTATGTGGTTTATCCCCGCTATGTTTCTCCGTATGAGCATCAAGGATTTCCTGTGCTGAGAACTTCTTTCCGCATTTCATGCACTTGAATTGGTTTTGCTTGTTATGCTGAGCATTAGTGTGTTGGTTTAAATGGCAGACTTTTGTAAATACCCGGTCACAAAATGTGCATTTGTGCGTTGGTTTTTCTTCTTGTGCTTTAGCGGTGGCACGTTCCACGTAAGACAGTGGTTCTTCGGTTTCATTGGCGACTTGATTGTATTGATACTTACTAGGTAAACCCTGATTGTTCGGTAAGTATTGGATCGGTTGCTGTGTTGAGAAGTAATGCATATTGAGAAAGTAGCCATTATACAATTGCTTTCCTGTAAAATAGAACGGCTCGCTATCGGTTCCTGAGGCTGTCGGTGAGGAGTTTATAGTTGGGAAGTCGTATACATCTGCTTCTATCTTTGGCAAAATGGGATTGGTATTCATTTTGTCATCTTGCTTCTGGTTATTTTGGTACTGATTATCATTGTAGTATAATTGTTTCTTATCATTGTTGACCCAGTTTGTAGAGTTATAATCACCATAATTTGTCCAGGGTTCATAAAAATTAGGAACGTATTGTTCTGTAGTGTTTTCTTGTTTTGACAGGTTTTGCAAATCGGTCGCTTCATAGGATTGATAGTAAGGGTATGA